GTGTGTGCTCGCTCCTCCCGGCTCCCGTTCCCAGAACTGCTTTTAATGAGGGGGCTTACGGGGACAAGGGTGTTACCTACCTCCCACCTCCCCCCCCATCCCCTCTGTCCAGCCCAAACCCCTCTTGCCACTCCTCCTTCCACACACACACACACACACACACACACACACACACACACACATGCACACAACCTCCCGTCACCTCAACCTGCTTCCCTGTCCCATCTGATATCTTATCGAGAAAAAACCCCGAACATCCGCCCCGATAGACAAACTGCCCTCTGCCTCCAAACCTCCCCACCCTCCGCACCACCACCAACCCACCCAGAAGAGAAGATTTACAGTACAGATCACTGTAAGTGCCCTGCTCGTCACAGCATCCATCCTAATCCTTTAAAGTATGGCTGAAAAATGTTAAAGACGGCGGTGGGAGGGAGCCGCCCGGCGAGGCTCAGGAGGGCAGCAGCCCGTCGACCCGGCCCACCCCGTGCTGTGCGCAGTAGCCAGTGCAGGGGTCTGGGAGAGGAGACGCAGAAGGGGCCTAGAGAGGGAGAGGGTGAGAGAGAGAGGCCTGGGACGGTGGCCGGGGAGGGAGCTTCCCACAATCTGATCCGAGCTGACGGGGCCATGTAATGGCAGCTGCTAGCCCAGATAATAGAGACTTAAGACTAGGAGTGGAGTGCGATTACAGCTGTCTATTCCAAGTTCAGGCCAGCTCAAATCTGCAACTTCTAAATTAGTTCATCCTCAGTAACTCCAGCAGACCGGAGGATGAAAAAAAGAGGGTAGGAGTTAGATGCGCACATGCTTTCAAGTAATTTAATCAGCGACTTAGATGTAACTTGAAAGGAAAAAACTGATTCGATTATTTAGGGTTAAAATAACTTGCTCAATATTAATTTTTTTTATTTTAAAACAAAAAATGTGTTTAATTTTACACTTCATTTAACTAATTTAAAAATAATGACAAAAAGTTCCCTTTTTTTTAATTAATAATGTCAGTTACAAAAACATCTTATTGTATTGTTTTAATAAATGATTGAATTTTGTATTAATAATGATATACAACTTGGGAAAAACCGAAGAAGCCATGGCCCAAATTTAGAAAGTGCTTCTCAGTTGTAACTTCCTGCTTTCAATTTAATGAACAAAAACTGCCTGACAAGCATTTAAATACTGAAGCCCAAAGCGCGAAAACACGGCTGAGTTTTAAACGCACGGTCTGTAGACTTACAAACTAAAAATCAAACAGAGTGTTCCAACCTGGGATCTGGCAATTACCCGCCTCAGACAGGCAGCACCCCGACAACGAGTTTAACCTACTGATAGGCAGCTCCCAACCTGAGTCAGTCTTTCACACCCAGCGCTCCACACTGGTTTTGACACACCAGAGAACTCCCAAAACAAAACAAATATAAACTGCTCCACGAACCCCCACACTCCTCCCCATCCTCCTATTCACACACCCACCACACAGCACAGACACAGACATCACAAACGCGTGCACACTACAAAACGATACCTGCAGCAGTATGCATCAACTTTTGATAGACTCAACTTGATGCAGAATTTAGCTGGGATTCTTCCTGGCTGGAATGGCTGTGAAGTCTTCTCTCAACACACACACACACACGCTGACATTCTTGGTTTAGCTTCATTCAAATGAGGTGATTTAACTGCTTTGGTTAACACAGTGCGGAGCGGGACCAATGTATTTTCTCAGGCAGGACAAATCGACTTGGTTAACAGGTGGGACCTAATGATTTTACAGATTTCTTTCTCGTTATCGCCTGCTGTCATCCCAAATTTTGCCTAATTAGTTGTTCATTTATTTTACCAACTCCATAAATCTCCTTTTAAAGGACTCCTGAAGAACGTCGCTGCAAGTTTTCTGTCTTTTTTCCCCCCGTCGTCTAATCTTATACATAAAGCCGGCGCTCGCAGGTTAAACAGGGGACAAGCTGTTTTGTTTTCAACGGTGCTATTTCAATTGGCCAGTTTTTCCTGCTCGACTTAGCCTGTGGAGGTGGTTGGTAGGTAGGCTGGTACTGAGTGTGTGTATGTGTTGTGTACGTGAGGACAGCGTGTGCAGCTGAAAGCCGGTTACCTAAAAGGGCTGTGCCAGGCCAGGCCAAAGTGGGTTAATAAAAATAACCAGCGTAGGAGCAGCGACAATCCAGGAGTGCAGGCAGAGGAGTTAGAGAGATACAGAGAGAGAGAGAGAGAACGGAGAGACAGTAGAGTAGAAGAATCTGTCGCTGGTGGTTTACCTGAGATTAAGTCTTTCTGTGGGTAAAAGGTCAATCAGTGATTCTTCTTTAATTACTAAAATCTTTTAATTACTATTATTCTTTTTAACTGTAATTATTAGCCGTTTTTCTTCTTTTCCACCTTTTCTTTTTTTTCATTTCAAACAAAGTAAATAATTGGAGTAAAAAAAAAAAGAACATTTGGCGTCATTGGACGAAGGAATGTGTGCATGACTTTACAGTGACCTGCACGCTGTTTTTGAATTTGAGCAGAAATATTTCTGTTCATGTGATTGCGAGTAGAAAGTCTGCATAGGGCGTTACATGGTGTAGCTAAAAATTCGAAGCAGATTTGAAGTATATATGGTATCTTTGCTCCATGTTTTGTCGTGTTTTATATCTTATTTTAATATACCTGTTATGTGTTTTAAAACGTTCCTTTTTTTTGCTGACCTGCCTTCTCCTGAAGTGTTTCTTTTCGCTCGCTCGTCCTCTTCTCTGTGGTTTGTTTTCTCACACCATATGTGGTTTTGGCATTTGTCTCTTCTCTTTCGCGTTTCTCTTTTTATTTTAATTGGCCTCATTGAAGATAATTTTGTTTGCATAAATTGGGTTGTTAACACAAAAGCCTTAGTGATGATAAAAACAATGTCGTGGTCGCTCTTGAATTTTACCTTAGACATGTTTCATTTTGAAAATGAAATGGAATTTGTTTTCGTGCCTCGTCTTAGAAATCGTCTTTAAATTGAAATTGTATTTTGTAGGTTTTGCTTTTCATTTTCATTCCCTGAAACACATTTTTTAAATTACAATGCATCACTCAATTAAAACCTCACAAAAACGTCTTTAAAAACCTGCATTAGGTGTAAATTTCAAGTCTGACATCACGGATATTTAGACCTCTATCGGATGTGTCTAACTTTGACTCTGTCTCTGTGTCGCTGTAGGTTATGAGGACGGCAGGATGGAGTTCCCAGACCACAGCAGACATTTACTCCAGTGTCTGAGCGAGCAGCGGCACCAGGGCTTCCTGTGTGACTCCACGGTGCTGGTGGGCGATGCCCAGTTCCGGGCCCACCGCGCTGTGCTGGCCTCCTGCAGCATGTACTTTCACCTCTTCTACAAGGACCAGCTGGACAAGAGAGACGTGGTGCACCTCAACAGCGACATTGTCACAGCCCCGGCCTTTTCGCTGCTCCTGGAGTTCATGTATGAGGGCAAGCTGCAGTTCCAGGACCTTCCCGTAGAGGATGTGCTGGCAGCGGCCAGCTACTTGCACATGTATGACATTGTCAAGGTGTGTAAGAAACGTTTGAAGCAGAAGGCCACGACGGAGGCAGACAGCACGCGCAGAGAAGAAGATGGCGGGTCCAGCTGCTCCGATAAGGCTGATAGTTTATCAGATGGTTCTACGGGCCGGCCCGCTACTGCCGACCTGCTGCACAGTGACGAAGAGGAGGAGGTGAAGGCCGAGGGAGGACCGCTGTGGCTGAGGCTGCCGTCAGCAGACAGACCAGGGACCCCAGCCATGGCTACAACCAGCCCAGGGCGCGGCGAGGTGGAGATGCAGAGTGGGGAAGGGCTTGGGGAGGGAGGGAAACTGCTCTCCCCAGCCGGCAGCCCCACCAGCTCCACCGGATCCCTCTCACAGAGGTCCCACCGCTCCGTGAGTTCTCGCGGAGGACACAGGGGCAGGAGGGTGTCAAATGATGCGGCCGACTGCGTCCTGGATCTGTCAGTCAAGCCGATTGCCGGTAGCAACCACAGTAACCACCATCAGTCCTACTTTAGCGGGGCAGCTACACCAGACAGCCTCCAAAGCCCATTGGCTGTGAGGGTGAAGGTGGAGAGGGGCGTGGCTTCAGACGAGGAAGAGGAACTGGGAGGAGGGGACTACGACATGGAGCACAGCGGCATCACCAAGGCGACGGTTCCCAGCGCCAACGGGGGCCTGACCCACCACAGCGTCGGAGGGCCTCTGTCGGCCCAGCGGCGGCTCGGCCTGGAAGCGCACCTGTCGGCTCTGCGAGAGGCCTCTCTGGCCTCAGAGCTGGAGCGGGACGAGAAGCCTTCGGCCACAGCGGACGACGAGGACATACTAGGGGGCGAAAATGAGCGCGCCCAGGCAGAGGCGGCCAGCATGGATAGTTCCCTGCTACCCTACGTCTCTAACATGCTGTCAGCTCAACACACCCAGATCTTCATGTGCCCGCTGTGTAACAAGGTTTTCCCCTCCCCGCACATCCTCCAACTTCACCTCAGCTCCCACTTCAGGGAGCAGGAGGGCATCCGCTCCAAGCCCGCTGGAGACGTCAACGTGCCCACCTGCACCATCTGCAGCAAGACCTTCTCCTGCATGTACACGCTGAAGCGCCACGAGCGGACACACTCCGGTGAGAAACCCTACACCTGCACCACCTGCGGCAAGAGCTTCCAGTACTCACACAACCTCAGCCGCCACGCAGTGGTGCACACGCGTGAGAAGCCGCACGCTTGCAAGTGGTGCGAAAGGCGCTTCACGCAGTCCGGGGACCTCTACCGACACATTCGCAAGTTCCATTGCGAACTGGTCAACTCGCTGTCAGTGAAGAGCGAACCGCTGGCACTGCCCAATGTCAGGGACTGGGCGATTGAGGACAGTTCCCAGGAACTGTGGAAGTAGAAACAGACTGCTGGGTTTGATAAAGGGAAAGAGAGCGGAGAGTGAAAGAAGGGCAGAGAGGCATGGGGAGGTGAAAGGGAGGTGGCAAAGTTTGATATTCGGGGTTCAAGTGAGTCATGTTCTTGTGTGTCGCAAAATCTCATTCAATTGCACTTTAATAGCACATGAAAATGTTACTACTGAGTTTTTTTGTTGTTGCTGTTTGGGGTAATTTTATTTTATTCTGAACTCTATTTTTATTTGGCATAAGTTCTGTTCGGTGGTTTTATTGCGTCTGAGGACGTGGGTCCCAGTGAGAATGTCTCGCCTTTTTCAAGAGTTTCCACTCTGTTTCATCTCAGACACAACACTCCGACGCTGGCCAGCGTATCGGTCCCAGATCCACAGACAGCAAAACACCACTGCAGGAGTTCAGGTCGAACACACTGAAGTGAAAAAGCATTACAATACACTAAACGGGTACTGTGATCACCACAAGTCGATACCACCACACACACACCGTTTGAAGAAGTGTGTGTGTGCGTGTGATGTGTGCTGTGTGGGTTTGTGTGTGTGTGTGGTGGTGTGTGTTGTTGTGTGTCTGGAGGTAGATACTGCACACTCTGGCAAAATTATCACCTGACGGTGCGTGGAGATGTGTATGATGTAGTTTTGTGTGTTTGTCAGTTTATTGTGTACTGGCTAAATGGAGCGTCGTCGTGCGAATCGCAATTCCCCGTTCTTCTTCTTGTTAAGCTCTTTTCGCGGTGTTGTGTGTTCAGGGTAAAGCTGATTCTGAGGACTGACAAGACAACTGATGGCTAGGCTCATGCCAAATGCACAGCTCCTTTTTTCACTTTCCAAATCAATTTTGAAGTATTTTCTAAAAATGAAAAAAACCGTATTACAAGATATTATACATAACTTTATTATATTATTATTGCTTTATTAATAGATTCTTTTCTTAAATGTAGAGCGTGGCAGTCTTTAAAACATCTCTTGTTGAAAAAGGTATGTTAATTTAAGGTTGTTGATTATATTGTTCTGCCTATATTTTCTAGACTTTAATCCGTTTTTTTTTTTTTTTTAAACCTTAATGCAATATATTGATTTATTATTATTTTATTATTTGTTACTTATTTTGTCAACTGGGGAACAAGCTCGCTGTTGTTGCCATGACCGCCCAAACCTGATGTTTATATTTTACACAATCAACACACATGTGAATTTCGCTCGTAATCTACTGCATAACACACATGCTACCATGCTAACCCATCCCCCAATTGATCAAGCATATGTAATGAGCGAAAGATGCTTGCCTTTCTTTTTTCTTTGTTCAATATACTAATCCCAGGTCGCGTGGGTGGACTGCTTGTACAAAGCCTGATGAGAATTCCTCACTATCTCTCACGAGAAACCATACGTGGAAAAAGAATAGCATAGAACAATAACAGTACTAGCCGAAATAGAACAATTTGATTTTGTCTTAAACCGTTTAGTCAGTTGTTTCGTTTTCGCAGTCGGGGGCGAAGATGTCTTGAACAATCACACCTGTACTCTTCTTGACAGTTAAACGTTGCGATTTTTATTCTTACTCGTCGTAGGTCTTGTCGCTGGGCCCCTATTAAGAATGTTAGACCGGAGCATGTGTTTCCTTTTGGATGTTGAAGCGATACAATGGGAACATTTTAGCCTGTGGATGTCTATATGCAACTTAATGAATCTCGTCTGATGCCGAGGCAGTACATGTGAGTGGTGGCACATGATTGGACACAATGACATGACACGTGCCTGTGTCGTGAC